GGGGCCTCGTGGGCGGGGCCTCGTGGGCGGGGCCTCGTGGGCGGGGCCTCGTGGGCGGGGCCTCGTGGGCGGGGCCTCCGGGTTTGCCCGGTGTCACGGTCACCTCCCGCCGCCGGCCGCTCACCCGAGACCCTTTCTCTGCCTAGTGGGGACTGGGCTGGCGGCCTCGCCAATTCCCGATGTTTTAAAGTCGATTCTTACATTTATTCAGCATTATTGAGCGCGCGCGCGTCTCCTCCTCTGAGTGACGCAGGAGGCGGGAGGCGAGTCACTGCCCTGAAGGACTTCGGAGTCAAAGGGCACAGACTGACCCAAGGGTTAGTTGCAATCGGTGAGATAAGAACAGCCAGGCTGGATCTGAGCGGGAGGCGATGCTGGTGACTCAGAAATGATGTGCACCAGATGGGAGGCTTTCAAGGGGGTGGAGACCGGGAGCCCGAGCAGGGGCTTGCTGGGCGGAGACGGGTGTGACACGGCGTGGAGGCAAGAATGGACGGAGTTTGCTTCTGGGAGCGAAGACAGGGCCCGAGCTTGAGAGCCAGAGGGAAGCAGAGATGTCAGGTTAGAGAGGGCAGGCACCGGACACCGGTAAGTGGTTCCAGGGCATTGGTCTTCAAAGGACCAGCCACTCAGGTACCCATCTGGAGGGTGACGGCAGTGTTTCTGACAAAGTAGGCATGAGGAGATGAACTAACGCAGGGCTGCGAGATGGTCAAAGGGGAATGAGGTCTAAACGTACGATGAGAGGTCAGTTTGGAGCATTCTTAGTGCACGCGTTTGAGAGAAAGAGGAATAATCCAAGAGCAAGTGGACTGCAGCAGCGCTATGAAGCTGCCCGCAGCCACTGCAACACGAGTTTGATCCCCGGCCAGGGGGTGACCCCCAGGGCGCAGCAGCCTCCTCCTGCCTCCCCGCTGCTCCCTCAGCAGTGTGTTTCAGTAGCTCCACCTGCTCTGCTCCCCATCTGTGTCTCTGGGGATCCTCTCACCCCCCCGCACCTCTGGCCTACACCCCAGTTCTTGTATGTATAAATGTTAAAAACAAACAAACCCGAGTCCAGCCCAAACCCATGCTCTTCCAGGGTCAGCTGTATACATAAATACCTCTCTGAATGCAGTGAATTTACGTCTATTGACATGAAAGATGCCCAAGCAGGAAAAAGCCTGTGTGCAGAGAACAGCCAACACCTGGACGGCTGGAGGCCGCACCGTCCAGTGACGAGACAGGCACGGCGTGGACGGGCGTGGGACAAAGATGGACACCACCGCAGAGCCACCATTGAACCCATTTTATTTTAAAGGTGTCTATGTACATCAAGTAAATACACACGGGTTGTGCAGTCTGGTTTGTCTCCCACGCTGGCATGCAACACTTTGGCAGATGTGAGTGGGCAGGCAGGCGCCCTGTGACCCTCACTCTGGAGGGGCGCGGCGGGTGTGGGAGGAGTGGCGGGGACCTTCTGGCACGCGTGCTGCCTCTCACTTACGGCAGTGCACTATATTCCCTACATCTTGCTTGAGGGGAGGCTGTCCGGTCACCGCGCTCCTCCCTGGCCCTGCACCTCCCTGTTGTCTTAAGCGTTTACAGAGAGTCAGTCGGTGGCAAGACCCCACACCCCCCACTTGGCCCTGACATGCCAGGCTGGCAGACGAGCACAAGCTGGCAGGTGCAAAGGTATTTTCCCCTGCACTGGGCCTGGGGTCGCCAGGGTGCTTCGCCACGGGCTGCGGGCTGCGGGCAGGGGAGCCAGTGAAGTCCTTGCCTCAGAGCAGTGGCTTCCAAGCTAGACCCCACGGGGCCTCTCGGGACTGGTGAGGGGCTCCTTGGCCAAGGAAACATTTCCCACCAAATAAAGAAAATGCCAAGGTCTGCCTCACTTTGCACCTAAGACTTGCTCACGAAGACGCTTGAAGATCACTGTCTTGGATTTCTCCAAAGCCCCTCGTATTTTTCTCCCTGCATTTTCCTTAATTGCTAAGACGGACCCAACAGAAAAAGAGAGAAGGGACCTTCTTCAGGCCAACCCAGCTGGGGGCCCCGGCGCCGCGCTAAGTACCTTTCCTGACTGGAACGGGGCGGTGGGTCGCATGCCGCCCGCCCCCACCCCGGAAGGTGGCTACCTGGGCACCACCCTGCTGCCCCGTCTGGCCTGTGGCCTGCGCCTCCACCCGGCAGTTTCCCGATCACACGGGTGGCAGCCGGGCAGCAGCAGGGCGGCGGCCTTGGGCTCTTCCACTCTGGGAATCTGTCCTGCCCCTTTCTTTAAAGTGCACTTAACCCCAGGAGGGAGAAAAAAATTAGTAGCTAGCAGGGAAAAGCCGGGCCCAGCCGGAAAGGAAGGCTGCGCAAGGTAAGTGTTTTGCCAGTGAGCTGGGAGCCCGCAAACCAAAAGCTGGAGCTGCGGAGAACACACACCCAATATGGGAGAGAGAAAGGGACCCAGCTCATCACGGTGGCGAGAAAAAAAAAATCCCCAGGGGTTTCTCAGCAGTGTGTCCCGAAACCCAAGAGCCCGTCCTCCAACCGTCTCTCTCCAGCCGTCACCATGGACAGAGGCCCCACCGCCGCCCGGGGCAAGGTCTGCCCCAGCTTTCCAAAATACTTTGAAGCCACTCTGGCTCCTGGCCATGAGCTCTGGGGTAGAGGCGATCAAAAGGGTTTTGAGGAGAAAGGAAGCAGTCCCTTGAGAAGTCCCCGTCCGCAGTGTCTGGGGAGAACACGAAGAGGGGGGCGGAGGTGCACGCCCCCAGTTCAGGCGGCGGCGGCAGGTTCTGTATGTCACCTCGCAGTCCGTGCATCCCACCCTCCCTGTGCCATATGTGAGAGAGGGAGGGGAGGCTATTTCTATACTTTTATGCTGCTAAGACATCTTCTGCTTAAGGCTTTGTGTGTGTGAGTGTGTGCGCGCGCGTGAAGGATCACAGCCCTCTGGTTCCAGTTTTTCCTTTTACCCAGTGTGAGAGACGCATATATGATAAAGGAGAAACACTCCCCCTCCCCCCATTGCCCTAGATGAGGAGGGTATATACTATGCTTAGAAACTGCTAAATACATCATTAGATACTCGGAGAGTAAGACAGAGGAGAGAGACAAGCAGCAGCTGTTGGTGCCGATACAGAGTACAGAGAGATACAGAGGAGAAGAGGACAAACACACTACAGGCGGACAACAAGGGCCGGAGGGAGTTAGTATCAGAGACCACAGGTTTGCAGCATGCTGAGAGGAGGCCTCAGTCCCTCTTAGAAACTGGGGAAGAAAGAGAAAGAGGCTGTGAGGAACAACTCTGCACCCCCACTGCACAGGAACAGGTGGGAAGCGTCAGGCGGAGGCGTACAGTCCTACTCCTGTCCCGGCCCTGACACCAGGGCCCCTCCCAAGCGCAGACGCACCCAGAGCTGCCCTAAGCTCCCTGTCCCCATCCCGGCGTCTGGCCACCCCGCCGGTCTGCTCTGTGCGCCTGGCCGGTTTCCTGGGAAAATCCTGGCGGGGGTCCGCCTGGGTGCAGCCCAGATGAGACAGCCCTGTGCGCTAGTCCTCCAGGCCTCAAAGGGGGCAATGAAACCAGGCCCGGGGCCCCCGCCCAGGCCTAAGGCAGCACAGTGAGGCGCCTGGAGACACACAGGACCGGGCAGGTGCTGGCTGCCAGCGAGGACCTGGGGACACAGCTGCTTGCACGCCCTCCGTGGAGGGCGAGAGGGAGCGTGGCCCGGCAGTCTCCTCCAGCTCACTAGTGGCAGTGGCTTGACAGGTGCGGCAGTCAACCCAACGTCCCCCGTACGGAGAAGTCTTGGCTCAGAAAACACCCACCCAGCCACACAGACTTCGGGGTGGAGGATGCGTATCTGGCGCAATCCCAAGGTCTCCATCCCTCCAGCGCCTGCTGGGGTGCGGCCCCCCGAATCCACACCACCCTGCCCCACTTTGTTGGGTGCACGGCAGTGACCCCTAGTGGCAGGCGGCGGTACCGCGCCCGGTGTCAGTGCCCACGGGCCAGGGGCCCAGCAGCCGCCATGCATGGAAAAGGCTTTGAGAGGACCCAAACACAGACAGACAGAAACAGGCGGGAACAGGAAAGAAGCTGAGGGCCAGAGGCACCTGAGGCAGGTCAGAGGACGCGTGGTTACCTGAAAGTGCAGGTATGCAGCAGCCGGGGGATTAGCTGGCCGCCGTCTCTTGGTGAAGAGGGAAAAGCTTGGCCTGGTCCTCAGCCTCGTAGCCGCACGGCAGGTCGCTCCTGGGAGAGACCCAGCAGACACAGCACGCTCAGCAGCTGGACTGGAAGCCTTTCCGCGGCGGCTGGGCAGGCCAGGCCCGAAGGGGCTGGCTCCCACGGTCCCAGGGGAGGGAGCGGCAGCAGAGAAGGCCAGACCACCAGATGGGGCCTCCCAGCCCACACTTCTCCCCCCCCAAGGCTCCCGGAGCTCTGAGCCCGGCCCAGCAGCCAGAGTCTTTGCTCTGGCGCCTCCCCGATGCCCGGGCGGGGGCTGCTGCACCTGTTGTCGTTGATGTCTGTGGCGTTTCCTGGAGACATCACCGGAGAGAATACAGAGAAAAGAGGAAAAGGAAAGCGGGGCTAGAAACCGTGTCCCCCGCCTTCCTGGCAGCGCAGGGCTGGGGGCAGAGGGACCCGAGGGCACAGCAGACCCCTCCCATCGCCCTGATCCCCGGCCAGCGGGAGACCCCAGGGCGCGGCAGACCCCGCCTGTCCCCCGCTGCCCCCTCAGCAGTGTGGTTCAGTCCATGTGCCTGTTCTGCTCCCCGCTGTGTCTCTGGGGAGTCCTCTCACCCCACCCCCTGCACCTCTGGCCTGTACCCCAGTTCTTGGTACATACATAAAGAAATCTTAAAAAAAAAAAAGACTCCCCAACCCCCTCTTGCCCTAGTTCCTTAGAAACAACAGCCGACCGGGCCGCTAGCTTAGGCTGCCCAAGCTGCACCATCACTGTTTGAGGAAAAGCCTCCCCGCGCCCCACACAAGGGAGGAAAGGGGGCGGGGAGGCGGGCGGGGACAGGTGACAGGGGACAGGAGCTGCGGGCCGGGCACTGGAGCAGCCAACGGTCAGCGTCATTTGCTCTTCGTCTGTTTTCCAACTCGCCCGGGGGACCCCAAGGCCAGCCACCCAGTTTCCCCACTCACCGTTGTCCATGCTGGCCTTCTGGTAGGAGACCAAGGGGCTGCCGGCAGACACGGCCCCGCTGCGGGCACAGGGGTTGGCAACGCTGGGTGAGAGGGAGAGGCGGCCTCTGGCGCCCACCGGCCATTACCCCGAGGACCCAGGGAGCCCGCTTACTGCCCGAGAGCCCCCAGAGAACAAAGGGCCCGGGCGTGGCTCTGGGAGGGCCAAGCCCTGCTCCTGGTCGGGGCGTCGGAAACGCAGAGGGCCCAGTGTTACCCAGCTCGCCGCCCCGCTCAGCCCGGCGCGGGCCCAGCCCAGGCCCCTGGCTACTCACTACATGTCCGAGGTGGAGCTAGGTGGGGCCGGCAGGTAGAGGTTCTGGTAGTTCTGGAACAGGCTGTTGGTGTAGCTGACGCACTCGGGGCTGCGGGAGCCGTAGGGGTTGGTGGGGGAAGAGGCTGGGTAGTGGCCAGGCCGGACGGGCTTCGCTGCGGTGGAGAGGGCCGGGCGTGAGGGGGAGCCTGAGGCCGCCGCCCGGGGTCACTCGCCGGGGTCACTCGCCGCTCAGCGCTGACTCACTCCCGCGCTGTTTGAGGAGGGGCGAGGGTGGGGGGCCGAGCCGGCCGCGGCCGCTCACCAATCTGGGCGGAGTGGCTGCGCTTGCTGGAGCTCTTGTAGCGGACGGCCTCCTTGATGCGGTCCACCTCCTGCTGGTAACGGCGCTTGTCCTTCATGGCGCCCTCCTTGGCCTCCTTCAGTGCACCCTCCAGGGCCTTAACTCTCTCAGCCGTAGCCCTAAGTCGTTTTTCCAGTTTAGGAAGCTCACAACGCAGATCTGCATTGTCACGTACCAGCTGGCGGGCGCGGGAGAGAGGAGCCCAGTCAGGGGAGCCCAGGCCCTCCCCAGGGCCGCGCCCCCTGCACCCCGTCTGCTTTCCTGGCCTGTTCTCGGTCTCCCTGAGGTGGGGGGGCGCGGCACCCCGCCCCTGGCTCCTCCGGCAGAGCTGCCCCCTCGCAGCTGCCAAGCAGCAGCCCGGGGCGACCGTGGGTCACCCAGAGGCGGGCGCGCAGGGGCACAGCGGTTTGGAGGGTGAGCGCGGTGTGGAGCGGGGTGCACAGCAGGGGCGGCAGCTGGGGGACAGGCCGGCCCCCTCACGCACACGCAGCGCCCCGTGCAAGGCACGACAGCACCTGCGGTCACTCAGCAGCTGCGGTCATCACCCGGTTTGCCGGGCTGCCCGCTGCCACGCCACAGAAAGGCGGGCGGGGCTGGCCGCGGGCCCCCCAGGCCAGGAGCGCGGGAGGCTGGCTCGGAGGGCATCGGGCAGTGGGCCCTCTGCGGGTCAGGGACCCTGAGGCAGCCGTGCGGCTCCCCTGCAGCAGCTGGCGGGCCTGGCCAGGCCGCGTGCAGCTGCGTTTCTGCCTCACGGGCCTCCCTGGTCTGCGGCTGCTGAGACAGAAATCAGGGAGAGCCGCTGTCCTCCGGGGGAGCCGTTTAGGGGACTCAGCAGAAGCCGAGATCCACGAGGGGCAAAGCGGGGCCGGCGGTCACTTGGGCTGGCCAGGACGCGTGGCTCAGAAGTCAGTCAGTCACGAGACGAAGACTGATTCTGCGCCGCCGAGGGGGTGTCTGGGGGTCAGAGCCACCGAGGGAGGGTGGGGAGCGGCCAGGGGCCGTGCGGAAGGGCAGTCTCCATTTCACCAGAAGACCCGGGGTGGACGGTGGTGACGTCACTGGAGACCACGGCCACCCCGGACCCGCCGGGCCGAGCACGAGACAGGAGGGCCCAGCTCTGCGGACGTGTGCTCCCCGCAGTGAGAGCCGCACCCCGTCTTGATGTCGCTGCACTGCTCTATGGGGAGCCCAGGGGCAGACGTGGCAGCGAGGCTCTGCGGGCCCCAAAAATGAAGCGCGCCCCAGACCACCACTGGCTGCCGCTCTGGGGTTGACTTCACGACCGTAAAGAGACGGAAAGAGGGGCCCTCCCTGGCGGCGCAGCGGGCTGGACGCAGCGCTGCGAGCTGGCCGTGGCCGCCTCAGGGCAAGTTCGGAGGTGACCACAGGGCGCGGCAGAACCCCGTCTCCCCGCTGCCCCCTCAGCAGTGGACTTTGTCCATCTGCCTGTTGTGCCCCCCACTCTGTCTCTGGTGAGTCCTCTCACCGCCCCCGCACCTCTGGCCTGCACCCCGGTTCTGTGTGCATGAATAAATACATCTTAAAAAAGCAAAAAGAGAAGGAAAGATGTGCTGAGTCTGCTGTGCTGGGAAGAAAAGACGTTTAAGCTGCAGTTTACCGAGCCTGAGCGCAAACGGCCCGAAGGCGGTGTGAAGGGACCGGACGTCAGGCTGGCCTTCGGCCGAGGGGAGCCTGGGCCTCGCCTGCTGCCCGGCTCCCAGGACCGCCCTCCTGCGCCCCGGACCTGGAAACCCAGCCACCCCCCGGAGCCGCAGCGAGCGGCGAGGGGCGGGGGGCAGCGCCACACCCGGGTCTGAGCGGCCGGCGGCCGGCGGGCTGGAGGCTGGAGGAGGCCACTGTGCCCGCCGGCCCGGCCCACGGAGCCCTCTCAGGGCGAGAGCCCAGCCCCCGGCTCCTCCCTGCCGTGGCTCTCCAGCTCTGGCAGTCTGACGGCAGCCTCACTGCGGGACGCCCCAGTGGGCAGCCTCACTGCGGGACGCCCCAGTCCCGGCACCTCTTTCCCTCCAGCTGCGTGGCCTGGGGGGATGCAGGCTGGGAGGGGGAGAAGGGGAGACAGGCCCAGAACAGGACAGGGTAAAGGGGAACCGCCGGGAGCAGGAAGAAGGGACTCACGGCCCCCCCTGGTGGAGAAACGGGCGCAGCCCCTGCATCCCCGAGCTCAATGCCCGGCCAGGGAGGGACCCCAGGGCCCCGCAGCCCCCTCCTGCCTCCCCGCTGCTCCCTCAGCGGTGGACTGCAGTAGATCCACCTTTCTGCTCCCCGCTCTGTCTCCAGGGAGTCCTCTCATCCCCTCACCGTAGGCCTGCACCCCAGCTCTTGGATGCATTAATAAATCTTAAAAAAATAAGAGAGAGGAGGGGTCCAGGGGCAAAATAAGGAAGACATGCACGTCGATGCCCCTAAGTCCAGGGGCCTCCGAGGCTGTGGCATCCTGGCCCCGGCCCCAAGAGCTCTCTGCACCCCGCCCTCCTTTTACCTGTTTGTGAACCTTTGTAAGCTGTTCCAGGTTGTTCTCAAGAAAGGAAATCTTCTGCTTTTGGGAGTGAATCCCCCCACTGTCCTCGGGCTCCATTTCTGCACTCTGAGCACAGACAGAGGGAAGAGGCGGCTGACCACGCCGCAGGGGTCTGCCCAGCCCGGCCCGGCCGGCCCCAGCCAGCAGCTCCGCGGTCAGGAGGGCGGCCGCGCGCTGGGCGGCGGAGGGGGCCGGCACTCACTTTCTTGACTCGAGTCGTGACGTCTTGAACGAACAGCTTGCGAAGGTTGTGGAGGGTCTGGAGTTCCCGGGCCTGGAAAGAAGGGACGGCAAAGTGGGCTGGGCACAGGCCGCTCACCTTCTCCCTCCACAAGTACTGGAACTTCCCGTCCAGCTAGTCAAGCGGGTCACTCATCTTTTGGAAAGATGTGCCCGAGTCCAGCCACTGCCTGCCTTTGCGGAAGGGCAGGAGTGGGATTAGAGAGAAAGAAAGGCCCCCGGGGCGCTTCCCCCACCCCACGAGGCCACCGGCCCTGCCCTGACCCCCACCGAGGCCTCCGGCCCTCCCCCCACCAGCCCGCTAACTCGGCACAAGGAGACTACTCACAACTGTCTCCTCCAGGCCCTTGAGGTCCTGCTTGGACTGCTCATGCCGCTCGTACAGAAATCTGGAAGCAGAGGACACCAGATGCCTGAGGACCCCCTCCTCACCCTCCTCCTC